AGCGTAATTGATCTATTCACAAGATAGGTGATTGACGGAGCAAGCTCCGCCTCAGCATCTTTTAGCAGCCTTGATGGAATTCTGTCAAGTCCAGCTGCCTTATTAACTTTCAAAGAATGCAAAATGCTTTGAACAGTGTTCTGTTCAACCCGTTGAAAGTCCAAGATGGATTTGATATCACTCTGCTTGTTTGCTTCTTTCACTGTTTCATATTTCTTCCATGCGTCCTTACTCACAGAGCGCAATCGACCAGCAACTTTGCTGCCAATGGCAGCGAAAAACTTGTTGAATTTTGTTGCTACGCTTTTTGGCTCCGATACTAAACGTTTCCCGTCATGTACTTGAAAAGGAGAGCCCCACTGGTTCTTGGAACCAATCACGGAGCTAAGCGAGCGCCACATGTCCTTAGGATTCTCAGCTGACTCAATTAGATTTTTGTAGTGCAATGCCTCCGCTGATTTTACCTTTCTGTTCGTAAAGTTTTTCAATCTACGATACTCATTCCACTGTTTCTGATTGCCATGTCTCTTCGCAACTCTTAATACATAGTCTCTTTCAGCCATCAGTTCTTTAAGATCATTAGTGATCCAAGGTTAAGACGCATGTTTTGTTCTAATTCTCTTTAAAGGAGCATGCTGGTTTGCAACATCAACAAAAAGATTATTCCAGGCGACTACAGCATCATCAATATCGTCAAAAGACTCTATAACACTCCAGGGAACTGAATATGGATTTATTTTCGAGAAAATCGATAAAAGCTGAATTTCGCCCAAATGCCGCTTTTGAAGCTCAAAATTTCAAAAGAATCTCGGAGCGTCGCGCCACGAATTGAAAACACTTGGACCGATAAAAACTACCAAATCTTGAAAAACAACATCAATACATAATTTAATGTTGTTTTTCAAGGGAGAGAACAGGAAAATAAAGAGAGGAAAGCTGCAGCTAAATCTTACCAGTCTCTCGGTACATGGGTCAGTACTCCGTCAAGAGCTATCAGACGCTGACAATGACAGTGCAGTCTTCGATGACAGCCCAGCTGAAACCACGACTTCAGATCTATCTCAGTTAACTACAGTTTTACAGTGAGATATAGAGGGTAAATCATACTTATTTTTCCCAATTACAAGTCTTGATCCCATTATTGTGCTCTGAGATTTAGTCGCTATTCCTCGATACAAAACAAACTCGCTTAATAAAAAGCCAGTGAAGAAACACAGAGTAACAATTGGGAGAGGGAGTGGGGGAGGGTTAGGGGGGAGGGACTGGGAGCAGCAATCCACAAACATCCCAAACCATAAAATAGAAGTTTTCGAGACACAAAGAGGGAAAATACATTCTATGTTTCTCTTGGTTTCTTATCGTCATTTCCTGATGTCATGACAATATTCTATGAAAAGCCGATGTGTACTTTCTTAACAATTCTGCATTGTTTATAAAATTGTGGAGACTTCGCAAGCTCCAGTACCTGAGAATACTGATGACAATCTAACGCGGCATCACTTAGAACCAATGATGCAACAAGAAATAAATGACATCGGGAAGTTTTCGACGACCTCTGAGAAATTTGGTTCTTCCGCAAATAAGCTGCCAGTTGGTCAGAAGTATCACTTGATTAAAAGTCATTTTGTGCCACCGATTAACTACAAGTTTCCAACGCGATTTCTTCATCAGTGCCGAAGAGGGTTTCAGTCACGATACCTCAGTGAGTACTCGTGGATGGTCTACAGCCCTTCAGTAGATGGAGTATTCTGTAAACACTGTGCTTTGATGATACCTATGCATTGCAGGAAAGACAAGGGTGCTTTTGTTAACAAGCCTTTCATAAACTGGCATAAGC